TGCGGGTATATTCATGCGTCTGATCAGCTGCTTCTTCTTTCTCACTTCGTGCCCTGTTCACCGCAGTCTTTGTTCTCCGTTTGTCTCTTTGTCCTTCCCACTGTCCTTCCTGTATTTAAGTGCCTGATGGACATTGGGAACGTCTTCAGCATGCTTTTCAGCTGAGAATCTGGCTTTTCCTCTGCCTAATGTGCCTGCCACCACGGCTTCTGCCAAGCCACGCAACTAGAGACCCCGCGAGCCGGCTAAGTTTCCATTCGAGCCTTTGGCTGGTGGCTCCTTTGTTGCATATTCCAGGTGGCGAACAAGGCGGTGGTAAATCTGACGATTGATCCTCTTGCACTTTCCAAAAGACTGGAGAAAGATGTGGCACGTCTTCGCCAAGAACTCCAAATCACCAATTCGCTCATGGGCAGGCACTCCTTGGTGCGTTAAACAATACAGACACTTACTGTTTAAGCTCAAGGTCCATTAAACGCAGTGTTAAGAGTTCAACGCTGAAGCTACATATTGTACAGATGGTCAGAGCCTAGCCGTCGGCGCTAGGAGGTTCAATACTACACTGTGAGGTCTAGTGACAGGATTCGGGGTCTGAGACCGGTCTCCCTTTTAGAACCTAAGGTTTGCTTTTGCGCTGCTTCGTTGGGTTTGGCATTTTCGGTGTAGTCTTACGACGCATCGTCTCCTGAGGAGCTGGAAGAAATGCGCAAGACGGCAACTCAGTTTCTCAACGGTGAACAAGAGGCGATCCAATTTACCTCTGTCAGGTATAGCAGCACAGAAAATCAGAAGAGCAGTAGTAGAAGCAGCAGCATCGGCACCAGCGAAGGTACAGGAATGCAAAAGCCATAAAAGACACAATGTCAGGAGCAACCAGGAGTGCATACCACTCTTTCGACACAACAATACCGTCCTTTTCCCAACGTAGTTGCCGCTGGTGCTTCTGCTGTCACTCTTGCTGCAGGCAAGTTGAAGAGCTTCTGCAAATGATGAGGTCTGTCTTTCAAGAAATGACGGCAACAATTCGGCGGGAGGCAGCAGAAGCAGTGTCTGCTGCCGTTTCGTCTCCAGACAGTGATGTTACGGGGGCTCAGGGGGCCAATGAGGCTGCGGGAGCCTCCAAAGCTAAGGGTTCACCGGCAACTCCAAAAACGGGGAAAGACCAAAACAAGGCCAATCAGCAAGGGAGCTCCCAAGGCTCACCACAGCAAGGGCCTAAACCAGTGCAAAGTAAGTTTAGGGGCGTAGCATTGCTGTATGTTGGCTCGTTTCACTTATCTGATTAAAGGGATAGGGATGCAGCACTAGCAGCCCCAACACTAGCAGCCGCAGTACTAAACATTGCAGCATTAGAATCAGCCAGCAGCCTCGCTAGTACATGCAGGAGCTGTGGTAGCACTAAGACCAACGGCAGCGGCTGACATGAAGTACTGCACTATGTGCCCACAGAGGTTGGGTATGAAGACCCCTCAGTAGGTGGCATTTCTTTGGGAACTGACCCGGACCAGTCCGAAATTGCTGTGGCCGACAGGCAAAACGGCTCCCGGCGCGCAGCTTCACCTCAGTGAGGGCATTGGGTTCACTGTTTACGGCCGTGGGCTATAAGATTGGGGCTAAACTGGCCCGCTGTGGTGGCTTGTGTCTTGAAGTAATTCAGTGCTTCAAGAAGCATACTGCTGAGCTTGAAAAAGATATATCTTTGGCTGATTAAGGCCCAATAGTAGCCTCTAGAGTGTTTTATGATTTCAGGCCCAACGGGGAGAGTGTGCGTGCGTCTGGCACTGCAGTGCCGGGCTCTTCTCGTTGCTGGGACAGACGAGAGGCCTATAGCCAGTTTAGAGAAACAGAAGGCAAAGAACTAAGCAAAACCATAAGGAATCTTTCACAGCAACAAGCCCAACAAAAGCAACAACTCAAAGCCATTAGCAAGGTCTGAGGTGGAAATGGACAAAATAAACTATGGATGCAAAAGAAGATAAAATACACGGCAGGCAGAAATGAGGAAACACGCAAATGAGGGGAAGGGGAGGCAAAATAGCTGACTGGGAAGAACGTACAAAAAAGGGATGGACACAAAGAAACACAAAAAGAAATACAGGAGGCAAAGCAACTAGTCAGGACAGCGTAGCGAGGAAGACGCAGTGGCAGAGACAGAGAGAGAGAAAAGCAAAAGTGCATATAATGTAGCATTACAAGCATGGAAGGAAAAAGACAAAATCACAAGCATATGCAGTCCCAAAGCCGTTCATGAATAAATACAGTTTCACAGGAAAATCGTGACAAAGCAATTGATTGCCAGGACGCCATAGAGCAATTCAATACAGGCTAAGACTAATAGAGATGAGGAGAATTGGGGAGAATTAGGCGATGAGCGACGCAATAGGGGACAGCACGAAACGCGAACCTTCGTTGTTTGGCCTGTGTCTTTTTCATCATTTTCATGAGTATTCGTGTTTGTCTCCACTCAGGATATTTTGCAGATGAGGGAAGCCATCAGGACAATCCGGAGTGAGCTCGCGTTTAAGCAGCAGAACGAACCGGAGAGCCAACAGGTACACCCTTCAGGCCATAGAACCACAGTGAAGACTCTTGAATCTGCGCCACGCAACTCAAATGACAAACTCTAGACCTTAAGCTGGAGCTGAAGTGGATAGGAAAACAACGGCCGTAGAGACAGTTAGGCACTAGTGCACCAACGAGAAATACTGAGAGGGGAGAGACATGGACGCTGATACATAAAATGAAGAAGGAGCAAAAGAGACACATAAGCATAAACACAAAACAGCACATGGACGGATAGATAGAGAAAGCGATTCGATATTAGGTTTAGGCATAGGAAAAAAAAAGATATAAGAGGGTAAATCCATAACTGAACAAAACAGAAAAACAAACAAGGACAAAAGATTGCTAGAAAGGGGTACAAGCAGCAGTCGGGCAGAGAGGCAGCAAACGGAATTTGAGAAAGGAGGCAAATGACACGATAAAGGCAATCAGAACAACAAAAAACAAAGAACAGTCTAGACAAGTTGCTCGCAAAGGACTAGTAAGGAGGAAGAGGCATGTCTAGATAGGAACAGGTGGCTAAGAATTCAAACTTGCGTATCTAATACAAAAACTGAATGTGCACTGCAATGAAGACACATGGCAAGATATTTGCCTCGCAGACTCCCCAAGAAGGGACAGACGGCCCTCGACTCGTCGACGCTGAAGAGTTTCAAATGCTCAAGCAAATACGAGACCTCAAAGCAGTCAGTTAGCAACAGCTGGAGCTACTGCTGACGCTGCTGCATCAAGTGTTCGTGCATGGACTGTTGCTGGACTTCTCCCTTACCCACCCTTCTCCTCAGGCCTATTTGTCCACGCCAGTTTGCATTTATTGCTGCGTTTCTGTCCTTGAATGTTCGTCAGCGCCTGTTCTTTTTTTGCCTTCCTGTATATCTACATTAGGGAAGTTCCAGAGGACTTTTGTTTGTTTTTTTTATTAGACCTTTAACCTGTGTTTGAGTCATTCTGCTCAGCTGTGCATGACTGTTTGCGCCTGCCTGTATTTCAGCGCTTGCTGTCATTTTGCCTCTTTAATTTGCTGCCTTCCCAGTTGCTTCTCATGCCTCTTAGGCTGCCCGCCAGCTCTATTCAGTCTACTGCTCGCTGAGGGCAGAAACAACAGAAAGAGAAGAGACCCTCAACGAGCACAGGCTTCAGCTCATGGGCGCTTTTGACTTCTGGTGAAGTTCACGTACAAGCATTGAAAACCTCGTGCATGCACTCAAAGTCAAAAAATCATTTATGGATAAATACAAGATTTTACATTACTACTTGCTTGCTCATAACAGCTGTACACCATTTAAATGCACATGTGCATGCGTGCTCACGTGGGAACATGCACTTAGACCAAAGCACGCACAGACGTATCCTAAACTTGCTTCGCTTCAATCAGGCAAGCGATGCACAACAAAACACGCACAACACGCGTAAGCATATGCATTCATAATTTATAAGCACACCGAGGAATCTGCTGCAGTCTCTCAGGAAATAGCCACATGAATGCGCGCTGGCGATTGCACGCACTTTTCGTCAAGTCTGTACACCCAATAAAAGGCAGAAATGCAAGCATATAAGAATACATGTTTGCCTGACCGCAGTTGTATACCGGAAAAGCATGACACAGTCATAGGCATGCATTCACAATGTACATGTACACAAGCATATTTTCAAAGGTCTCTCTAAAAGTAGTGCGCAGCTTGAGAATGCGCAAAGTGACTTTTACCCGGAATTCCAAATAGGCACGTCACAAACTAGTACCTCCTTGAAAGCGCAACTCAATCACTATAAAGTAGCAAAAAGAGCATGAAGCCCTCTGAAAGACACGCAGTCCATGGCCACCCACTGCCACGTCTACTGTGTTTTAGCCACTTGAATTTCCGTTGAAGATCACATAACGATCTCCTGTCTTCTGCTGACGTGTGGGTGAAGGTATGAAAGAACATACGCTGGACTGCCGGAGGCTGTCACGGCTCATACCTTGAGGCCCAAAGGAAGCTCAGTTGTCGCTGCCACTTCTCCTACTGCAGCAGCCGCTACTGGTAGCCCTGTTACTGCCTCTGCTGCTGCAGCAGGCGATTCGGTGAGGAAGCGAGGCGATAAGGCTGCTCGCCTGGCTGCGTCACTGCCTCTGCCGCTGCTGTTGTTGCAGCCAGTGCTGCACGTGCTGTAACTTCTGCCTCACAGCATTTTCCGATACTTCTCTGTCATACCCATAGCTGTAAGGGCTGAAATAATCTCTGGTGCAACTGCTGCTGTTGCTGTGGGTCCCCAGGAAACGTCTGGCGATTCCATTGCGGGACAAAGTGCCAGAGACGCCTACTACAGGGCAGCGTAAGTTCTCAACACTTTGACACTTGACACTCGACAGTGGCACCTGATATTGCCAGTTCTGTTGCTGCTTCTACTGTAGCTTGGAAAGCCAGGAGTGCTGCAACATATAAGCCCGGCGTCAGAATATGCGGAAGAGAAGCAACAGTGGCAATTGTCAGAAAGGCAGAAGCAGCAACAGCCTTGGCGGATTCAACAGTAGCGGAGCGGCAGAAGAGGCAGCCGAAATGTATTTTTTTGCTCAGGCGATTTGCCTGGAAGTCCACATCCAGCCTAAAACTGGGGAGGAGACGGTTTCACCGCCGCTGACTTTGACTCCTCACGCGCAAATAGATGAGATCCTGCCTATTCCCTTAGCTAAGAGGCCTTCATTCAAATTTAGTGACGCTACCAGGAGCCCCGCCTGGCAAAGTACCCTTCTGGCGAAGGCACTTCAGGCATTCCACTGCGCGAAGATCCTCTGTGCTCCCCTTTCGAAGCCCTCAGTCATGGACCAAGCAGGGCCTCATCCCAGCGAGGGGCCCCAACGGCAGCTGCAGTGTCCTGAAGTTACATGCACTTGAGTTTTGCAGTCCAGAACTAGACTGGGGAGGCCATGCATGGATAGGCATTTGGACATATTTTGTAAATGCAAGCCAAAACAAATGGGGGATCATGAATGCATCTCTACAATGTAATTGCTCCCCTAGATGAACGGTGAAATAGACGAAAATGGTCTAGAGTACCAACGACGCCCTTGTGGACCACTCTGAGAAACAGCATTGAATCTGTCAAGTAAATGGAAGACACAGGAGCACATATGTTCTTTTAGCATTCAATCAGATAGTTGCGAACAATTTCATGTGTGTGGATCCTAAATAAACTTTACAGGTGCAGTGCGATGAAACCGATACATTGCGTTTTTCACATATTTCGTGAGTTGCTCGTGATCCACTCCATGTGTGTAGACTATCAGTGAATTATGAAGACGCTATTATGTGTTCGTTGAACTCGACGTTAAAAAGAGTCAGGAGACAAGAGCGCCCACCAAGACATCGCTTAATGCTGTCCCGACCATTTAGCAGCTTCCCGGGTCAAGGCTCATTACTTTGCACTGTTTCCAGGGCCAATATAGCTTGCAAATAAAGCTTGCTCTTGAAATTCATTCTTGAGTTTCAAATGAAAGAGGGTCACCCGCACACCCGCTTAAGCCCCCCACAATCGACAGATCGATGAGGGCAACAGTCAAAGCAGCAGCCGCAGCGGCAGCCGCCGCCGCTGTCAAAGATGTATTTCGTATACTTCTTCTCGTCTTCCGTTTGATACTGCGCACACTTTAGGAACGAGAAAGGCGAAGGGACAGAGACAGCCGCATCCGCATCAGCAGCAGCAGGAGGCCCAATGCGTGCGAGATGGCTCATTATGTGTTGCAGTTGCTCACTTGTGCTTTGTTTTTCTGTGATTTATTTGTAAATTTGTCCTTGGCCCTATCGAAGGCCCCTCAGGGCCTCTCGCCTGCATTCCTCGGGGCATCTTCCTGCCCTTCGGGCTACCAGCAGCAACGGGAACTGCAAGCAGCAACAGCGACTGCAGCATCAGCAGCAAATCCATTTGTCGCCAACATGGCCACAAAAGAGGGAGCGCAAGCTCTCTTGCTTGCATCCCGAGGGATACGGTGCTCACGAGGCCTACGGGGGGCCCCCTTGAGGGGCCCCAACCCAGCCTTCCTGAGGCCCCGGGCCCTAGGCACTCTTGCAGCTGTAGCCCAGGCTGACACAGATGCTGCAGCGCGCACTGCCCCAGCAGCAGCAGTAGCAGCAGGAAGAGAGGCCCCGCTGCGCCGGGTGTTCACTCGAACTAAGCAGATAGCCACTATAGGGCCCGCTTCATGGGAGAAGCACCAGGTGAGGAAACCCCTGACCGCAATAAACTGAGCCACGAGCCCTCTACCGCTGCATCCCATGGCGCTGCGCACTTGCTGGCAGAGGCCGCAGAGCTGCCTCAGAACACCATGCTGAGGGTTTGGGATTTGAGATTTCGATTCAGGTTAGGTTGGGGGTGCGTGCTTGCCATTGTTCTGCAGATAGAAGACTTATTTTTGTCTGGCGTGGATGTATTTCGTCTGAACTTCTCCCATGGCTTGTTTAGCGAGAAGTACCAGCAGTACAAGTACATTCGGGAAATAGAGCACAAGTACCAAACGCCCATAGGCGTGCTCGCGGACCTGCCAGGTCCCAAGCTGCGCCTCTCCGTCTTTGACCCGGATGAGGTGACGCTAGTCAAGGGCCAAAAGTTCATACTAGACGCAAGTGCGGTGCCAGGGGGCCCCCAAAGGGGCCCCCTGCAGCAGAAGTGGGTACTGGGAGCCCTTAGGGTCGGACACAGAGTACTAATAGACGACGGCAAGGTACGGCTCAGGGTAATTGAGCTCTCGCCACGCCTCCAGCAGCACCAGCAGCGGCAACACATGCAGCAGCAGCAGCAGGTGCAGCAGCAGGGAGAAGAGGAGGAAGACGGGGCTGGGGACAGCAGCTCGGGGCCCTCGCAGGACAATGCGTGGGTCCTCTGCGTGGTGGAGACAGGAGGCCCCATATCGAGCAAAAAGGGGGTCTCTTTGCCGGACACATATGTGCCTGTCTCTGCTTTGACTAAGAGAGACGAGCAAATAGCAGCAATGGTCACAGAGTGGGGCGTTGACTGGATTGCCCTTTCCTTTGTGCAGTCCGCAGCAGACATTCACAAACTCCGAAGGGTGATCACAGCGCAAGCCAACGCCCTTGAGGGGGGCCCCCAAGGGGCCCCCGAAGCGGATATCCCGCGGGCCTTCGCAGGGCCCATTCCAGAGGCCCCCGGCAGGGCACCTGCCCCAGCCTCACTTGGTACTGTGGGCTGCGTGGGGCCTCCCTGCGTCCCCCCGCTGATAATGGCAAAGATCGAAAGGGCTGGGGCACTGCAGCAGCTGGGAGCCATAGCAGCAGCAGCAGACGGCCTGATGGTGGCGCGGGGGGATTTGGGCTTGGAGCTGAACTCTGAGTTTGTGCCCAAGGCTCAAAGGGACATAACAGCAGCAGGGAGACAGACGGGGAAACCCGTGGTGGTGGCCACGCAGATGCTGGAGACAATGATGACAAATCCCCTGCCCTCAAGAGCAGAGGCAGCAGATGTTGCTGCGGCTGTGATGAGCGGCGCTGCTGCAGTTATGCTCTCAGGCGAAACTGCAGCCAGCAGCAGGGGGCCCCATATAGCCCGCATGCAGCACAGCATCATCCAGCAGACTGAGGCGGACCCGAAATACTGGGCCCTCAACACTCTCAAGTCCCCACAGGCAGCAACGGTGTTTGCCGCAGCAGCAGCAGAAGCGGGCACCCACCCATGGGGGGCTCCTTCGAAACAGGGGGAGGAGAGGCAAGAAAGCCCCACGGGGCCCCTGGAGGCATTATCTGAAGGAAGCCAAGGGAAGCCTGAGCCCGAAGTGACCACTGAGGCCCTCGCTGTGGGCGCAGAGATGATGGCGCGTGTGTCTGCTGCAAAGGCTATTTTGCTCAACACGAAAGACAGTCGAGGGGGGCCCTATCTCTCCTCCTTGAGGCCAAAGGCTCCTATTGTGGCCGCCACGGAAGACCTAAAGGCAGCCAGGAGGCTCCAGCTCTACTGGGGAGTCCATCCTATCTTCTTGGGGCCTCGCCCACAGGGTCCAGAAGAGATTTCTAAGGTCAAAGAGGGACTACGGCAGTCAGACGGGGACATGGACGAGGGTTGGGTGGATGCTGCGAAGAGAGGAGCCAGGGCAGAAGGGTTTATAAAGGGGCAGGGAGACCTGGTCGTCGTTGTGGGGCCCCCAAATCAAAGAGGGGCAGAAGATGAAGTGTCTTCGGAAGCAGGAGCAGAGGAAGCGGTGAGGATCTGCACTGCGGCCTGAAGGACCATTTTTCTCACCTCAGGCAGAGCTCAGATCCAGGGCTTGTTATATCTATTTGCGTTTCAAGCTGCTGCATTCCTATCTTGATCTCGATGCTGCTGTTGCTCCAGCGCATGCGCGGTCCTGGAGGTGTTCTAGCCACCGCTGGGGCACTTCTTACAATTGTAGCTGTCTTTGAGAGCTGAAACAAGTTGGGGTTGCTAGGGTACAGAGTATGAATCTGCGGGCCCCCAGGCCTGTTGTGGCCTCGCTACTGTGCTGAACTGGGGGTTGAGACTCTCACAAGTGTATACGGAGTGCCAGGAATAAATAGGTGGAAGTGAACAGACGAAAAGCGCGAACAAGATGCAGTGCCTGACACGCTAGTTAACGTGATACGCTAGACAATAAGGGACAGAAGTGCCCTTGGAGGCCATTCGGAGGCCCCTTGAGCGGCTTTCCGCTTGCAGGAGTCACTACGTCTTGTTTTGGGGGGTCGTTATGTCTGAGTGAGGTAACATGGCTGTTCGTAGTTTGCAGCAAGCTGTGCACGGGTGGGGGACGCGGCACTGCAGTGCATGAATCCTGTAGTTGGAAGTGATTAGCTAGAAAGAGCGTCTGTTGCGTCCCCAATACTAGGAGTAGGCAACGGTGTTGAGGCTGCATCTGGGTCCCTAGATGTTGTTGGTGGCTACAAAAAAGTGCAGGTAACCTCAGGCAACTGCATTTAGAGGCAGGTAGCCAAATCTTCATTCCTGTGGATAGCCAATTTCAATATGCATAGTTTTGTGCAGAGTTTGTCTTCCACGATTGGCGGCTCGCGGTGAGGTCGAGTACCGGTGAAACGAGCCCGAAATGAAGCTTTCTGTGTTTACGTGCATCATAATGAATTTGTTCCATAAGAATTTTTGACTAGTTCATTGGTGAAACGATAGCAAATCTTAGCAGTAATTTCTAGGAGCGCAACACGGGATGCAAGACAGCTGGTCTGCAGTAGCTGTTGCTGTGGCATCTGTGTTGATCAACCTTCTGCTAGTTGGCACTCTTCAATGCATCCGTTGAATAATTCTATTAATTTGACCTGCATTTACTAGAAAAAAGAACAAAAAGACAAGAACAAGCATCGACGAACAACTTCTGTGCCTACGCGCTATGCCCCCCTCTCCTTGACGCCGACATGCAGCATAGCAGCCCGGGACAGTCTGCCACTGCACACAGTGAGAATAATCCGTTAAGCCCTTGAGCCTTAAAACTAAGGTGTGGCCGTGTTTTAGGGCTTTATAACCAACACTACTTCTTTTAGGCTTCTGTGGAGGCTGGCTGGCGCCGTGCCTGTCTCTTCTGGGTGTCATCAACCCTGAGCAGTCAGTCCTCGACGCTGGGCAGTCATTTGCAGGCCCGAAACCCCTAATTCGCTGCTGCAGATCGTATAACTGGACCCTCGCCAAGATGCGGATGCTGTCACTGGCTCTTGGGGGGCTTTGTTTGGCCCTGTTCTCGAGAGACAGAGCTGAGGGGTCCCGACACCTGCCCCGGCAGACCCTGGGGTTCCTTTCTCGCCCCTTGCCCAGCAGCTCGGTCAGTGGGCCCTCCCCCCGTACCGTGGATCCCTTTCGCCCCGCAGGAGGCCCCAAACCCTAGCGTGCTTCTGCCTGCGTGTGTTCGTCTCAGCCGGAAGTGACTCTTTCGCCGTCACTGCGCACAGCCCCGCAGCTGACTCCCGCCACCCCGTCTGCAGCAGCAGCATCTGACGCGGCCTCAGCAGCAGAACGCAGCGAGAGCACCCGCTGCTTCGCCTACCCGCTAACCTATGGCGGAGGCCCCAACGGCGGCGGGGAGGGGGAGGGGCGCGTGGCCCTCATCACCGGAGCCAGCAGAGGCATTGGCCTGGCCATAGCGAAAACCTTCGCGAAAGGAGGAGTAGAGACGATTATTTGCGTCGCCAGGGATCAAGTCAGGCTGCAGACACGGCGCTTTGGGGCTGGGGGGTTGGGGGTATCAAAGCGGGGCTTGATACCCCAGGGGCTTAGGGGTATCAAAGCAGAGCTAACAGCTTAGGTGCGAATTCGACGGCCGCGAGTGTTTAAAGTTGCAAGACACGCTTAGGAAATGTTGCGGAGGGCTGGCAGTAGAGCTTTGAGTTGAACTGTTCACTGAGCCCTAAGCGTAGAACTTAGCCGTAGAAGTGTTGACTTAGGTGTTTAATTGAGTAGCCCCCGAGCCCACAGCGGCTGGGCTAGCCCCAAGAGTGACGCATGCAATGCCCCAAGTTTGCGGCCGCTGGCTCAGGCTGCATGCGACGCTGCTGCTGCGGAAGTGCGGGCGCTGGGCGCTGCCAGCGAAGGCCACGGGGTGGACGTGGCGGACAGCCGTTCGGTGTCGGAGCTGTGTGCGTCTTTGCTGGAGAAGCACAAGAAAATAGACATCTTGGTGAACAATGCGGGCATTACCCGGGACAACTTGTTCATTCGAATGAAGGATAACGAATGGACAGATGTCATCGACACCAACTTGAACTCAGCCTTTTACTTTTCGCTCCCGCTCATCAAACAAATGACGAAAAACAGGTGCTGTCTGACTGCTGCCCAACGAGGCTCTGCCCCATCTCGTCACAAGTCGTTTAGAGAGCCTTCTCTGTCCTCTTGGCTATCTGCCCTATATATTTATGTGTCTGTCGTAGAATTAATAGGACAATAAAACTTAAGCCATTCCAAATATCTCATGGTACTGTACTAAATTGGTTTCCCGTATAAGTTTTTAAACGGTTCAAAGTTCTGGTACCTGTGTGAGTAGCAGTCGTCATGGTGTCTGCGTCTGCTTCTTTCTCGCCTGAGCGTTCCTGCAGTGCCTTTCGTTCGTCTTGTTTTGGTTTCTTTTTCGTTTTTTTCATTTCCCTCCCATCGACGCGCTTTCCCGTCTCTGCTCGCCGCCGCAGGTTCGGCCGCATAATCAACATGTCCTCGGTGGTGGGCGTGGGCGGCAACCCGGGCCAGGCGAACTACGCGGCGTCTAAGGCGGGGCTGATTGGCCTCACCAAGTCGCTTGCGAAAGAATACGCAAACCGGAATGTGACGGTCAATGCCATTGCCCCTGGCTTCATCAAGTCCTTGATGACCGACAAAATGACGGAGGCCGCAAAGGTGTGAAATCTCCCTCTCTTGCCCTTTTCTTATGGGCTCAGGGGCTTACCTGGGGCTAGGGAGGAGCGCTGTGGGCTCTAAATCACGTTTTAGGCAACTAGGTCTTTTATGAAAAGCCGTTTGATAGAGGAGACAGATGTTAGCAGGAAAAGCAGGCAATAAAACGCATTGTGCGGCCTTTTCCGTTTGCGTAGAAAGAAGCAGATTCGGCCCTGGTAATGTGAGCTAGGGAATGCTGCCTTTTTGATGCCTTGTGTTTTGCTCCATCTTTGTCTAATTTGTACTATCTCTCGCGGGCTTTTCACTCTCCTACTTATTTTTTTTGTGGCCTTCAGGCCGGCGCCTTGGCAAGCATTCCCGCGGGCCGTTTCGGGACCCCGCAGGAGGTGCGCACTTCGTCATCTCAAAGCGTCTTTTGCCTGTTTTTGCCAGAGTTTTTTCTGTGCAGTTTTTGTCCCGCGCAATTGCCTGTCCTTGGTGACTTCCCTTTTCTTGTTTCTCCATTTTGTCTTGCAAGTCCTTTCCCCCGTTGTTCTTCCTATCTTTGCCTTTCTGGTCTAGTGGCGACTGTTGTGTTCGTTTCTATTCGTTCTTTTGCGGGTTTGCGCTGCTAGCGGGGCACTGGCTGGCTATACATATTGCATAAACATGGACTCATAAGCATCTATAGAGAGTGCCTTCTTGCATAGTTAAGTATTCCCCAAAGCGGGTCGCCACCCGTGCCTCTGTGTTCTTCAGGTTGCGGACTTGGCAGCTTTCCTTGCCTCGGATCAGGCGGGATACATAACGGGCAAAGTCATTCCTATAGACGGGGGCATGTTGTTTGGGTCAAACTAAAGCAGGCGCCGGAGTCGCGTGATTTGTTTCAGGGCTTCTCTGGGCGCGCCCTGCGGCGACTTCGGAGAGGCCCTATAGCAGTATCTCCTGCTGCATTTCTTGGGCTCGCCGAGCGCGCATCCAAGGAAAAGGAAAGCCGTATGGGGCCTCTCTCAGGGCGCCTTGATTCAGGGGGGGCCCTAGAGCCTGCCCGTATCACCTACGCCAGCGCGGAGGCGCTGGACGCCGTCTAGCGGCTTGCGCTGAAGCATTTAAGGGGCCCTCTTTGATTTCATCTGGGGGCCCCTATCAACCTGTTAGTGGACTTCTACGCGCTATTGAAGTGTGTCTTGTGCGCGCGAGTTCCCCAGCCCCAGCTAGACACCCCCCGAGTCGGGGCTTGTGGGGGTCCCCTACAGTAAATCAGACATTAAAGGGGCCCCTGCAGTGTACACAACTTCATTGTTTTGTTTCAATCGCCGCATGTTCCAGTGCGCGGGAAAAAAAGAAATGGAAAAGTTCTTTCTGGCAGCTGCAGCCCCAAAAGGCCCCGAGCAGCCCCCTAGAGGGGCCCAAGCAGCCCCTGGGGCCCCTCTAGGGGGCCTCAGTATCTTGCTCCTGCGATAGGCTCTTTAGCCCGTCTACACTGTACAGGGGAGGCCCTTAGGTAACCCTAAAACGTAGTTTATGCTGCAGCTCTACAGCTTCCCAAAAAATCTTAAGGCGACCGCAGAAAGCCGCACTAAGCAGCATCCCCGCCACTGGGCTCCTCTCCTGCTGCTTTCGCCGTAGAGAGCTGCTTCTTTTCTTCCAGTGGAGGAGAATAGGCTTCGGAATTAGACTCTGCATGCGCGGCCTCTACTGGGGCAGCAGCACATGCGGGCTTTTCTTCATCGCTGGCGGATGCCGCCTGCTGCTGTTGCTGCTTGTGGGGACCCTGCTGCTGTTGTTGCTCTTGCCGGAGATCCTGCTGCTGCTGGTACTGCTGCAGGAGGTCACGCTGCTGCTGTCGCTGCTGCTGTAGATCCTGCTGCTGCTGCTGCTGGGGGTCCTGCCGCTGCTGGAGTTCCTGCTGCTGGTGCTGGAGGTTCTGCTGCTGCTGCTGTGGAGCATAGCCCAGCTGATGCTTGAGGATGTTGATCTTTTCCTGTAGCCCCTCGTTCTCCTGCTTCAAAGTAGAGTTGGAGAGGCGAACAGCTTCCACTTGGTAGGACAAATCTGAAGCAGCAGTAGTGGCAACACATAGTAGCGGCCGCAGCAGCAGGCTTATGAATTCTACGCAGTTGACTAGGCCCATATTTGGCTCTTTTGGCCTTTCCTGCCCCTACTTTTGGAATACGATAAGCAACAACGCCAGCATCGGTGGCCTCTAGTACCAGCAGCAGCAAAACTAGAAGCAGCGGGAAGCAGCAGGGAAAGCAGAAACAGCAGCACCGAGAGTGGAAGCATCCTCAAAAACGCCAGAAAAACAGCAGCATCGGCAGCAAAAGAAGCATCATATAGGACCGCAGCAGAAAAAGAGGCACCAAAAGCCGAACCCGAGAGCTCTTCTTGCAATTCCATTATCTTGTCAACGATTTCAGCTGGAGTCAAACTGCAGACAAAGCAAAGAGGTGTTTCGGCCACAGCAATCTTAGGGGCCTAGGCAAGTCAGAGGGGCCCCCAGAATTCCGTTGAGGGCCAGTCCTGTGCAAGCTGAAGGGGAATGCTAGGCAGGTCCTGCGGGGGGCCATACTGACTTCTCCGGACACAAGTCAGGGGCCTCTCTGGAGACCCCAGCTTCGACAGCAGACTGGGACGCCATTTCCTAGGCTCAGAAGACAGGCAAGCAGCCGGGGAGTCCTAGAAAAAGGGACAGGCCCTCGGGGAGGGCCTCCACGCTGTGTAGCCGGCGTGAGCACACGCTGCCGGCGGGGCCCCTAGCCTGTTGGGGGAAAGGGAAAGATCTTGAGGCAAGCAAAAGCCAAGCAAAACAATGAAATATGTTTTGAAGCAGGGCTACACCGTTTCTCTGGCGAGCTCTGTGAAAATAGAAAGACACTCCTTGGGGGGCCCACTGGCGACAGGCGACAGAGAAGCAGGCTCGCTGAGACCCTCGTCTGAAGATGCCCAGCTAATAAAGAAGAAAATAAAACGACAAAAGTTTCCGAATAAAATTTTAGTTGATTAATTTATTAGTTTCAAATACGTTGTCCATGTAGAGCTCTGGTCGACTGAAGTCTGACTGACAGAACGGGCCTTGGGCACTTTTTGTAGTCAGTGGAACAGCAGTTGTATTGAGAGCGACTGCCCACGGATCCGCAGTACTCGCCTGGGGAAATCAGAAAGTTTAGACAAAAAACCTCGAATTTATCATCTTGTTCTAAAGAATGGGGCCCCCCGGGCCCTTTGCTGGCTCTAAGGCAGAAGGGGCTTGTGCCCACTGTGCAAACAACAACCCCACCTGGCACCGCTGCCGCTGCCGCTGCTGCGGTTGATGCGAGTGTATTGCATGAGCGTAGATGTTTCATTCGTTGAATTTTGAAAAGCCGCGGGTCCCTCTACAGAAACTGGAGGGATCCGGCATCATGCCCTCACCACCGCGCGAAGGGGTCCCAGCAGCGCCCTCCCCTGTTGCAGATGAAGCAGCAAAGGGAGCAGCTGCATCAGAGACCCCTCCCTCTTCTGCAGCTCACGACACGGCTCTTCCAGGGGTCCCTCGAGGCGCTGTGTATGCCGGTTCCTTCTCGTGCACACCACCTGCCAGGGCCCCCCAAAGAGGCCCCTTCCGCTACAGCAGCAGCGCACGCTCAGCGTCTTATAGGGGGCACCGGGGCTCGACTTTCTCCCGGTCTGCAGCCCGAGCCTTCTTTAGGACTATTGCTGAGGCAGGGCCTCCCCGCCTCCGCAATGGCAGCGGCAGTAGCAGCGCGAGGGCACCCACTGTTGCTTCAGTCCTGTCGCCAGCAGCACCAGATACGTCGCTAGCGCCCGCAACAACTTCAGCAGCAACAAGAACAGCAGCATCAGCAGCACCAGCAGCAGCAGAGACACCTGAAAGGCCTGCAGAGCGGGTCACCCTAGAGACTCGTGCGCCGCCCACGAGCAGCCCTCTGTTCGCTGGGCGGCACACTGTAGAATTTTTGGCTTCCTCTCCGTCGGACTGTCTCAGTCCTCTGTCTCCTCTTAGCTGCGTGAGCAGCATCACAGCGCCGCCCTCACAAGCCACAGAAGGAGCGCCGGAAGCACCAGCGTCCGAGGCAGCAGCAGCAGCAGCAGCGGCAGCAGTGACTGAAGCCGCAGCAGCAGCACCAGTACTGCGGCAGGTGCATTCGTTGCCCGTAGAGCTGCAGACAGAACTGCAGGCGTCCGAGGCTCTACAGGGCTCTCCTTCTTCTCTGGGCCCCGAGGGCGTCTGCTGCAGCGCCCCGGCTGCTGTTCCTGAACAGCAGCAGGAGCAGCAAGTGGAACTGGATGAGCAGCAGCCTCTGTTTGTAGGGGCTCACGAGCCTCAAGCAATAATGCACACACCTGCATTTGGGGCTCGCCGGTCAGATGAGGGGACCCCGCTGCTGCTGCGGGGGCCTCTGGTCAATCTGCTGCGTAGCCCGGCTACCGCAGCAGCCGCCTCTCCTGCTGCTGCAGCAGGTGCTGCAGGTCCTGCTGCTGCTGCGCCTGCGGCGGCTTCCTTGTGGATGTCTCCCGCTGAAACGAACACACCAGAAGCGGCGGCAGAAGCAGCAACTCTGCAGCTAGCCACCGCAGCAGCAACAGCCGCAGCAGCTGCTGCAGCAGCTGCTGCAACAGCAGACCTTCTACCGCGACACGCGGTTACGGGCTCTGTAATAACTGATGGGGCTGCAGCTACCGTTACGCAGGAGTTACAAGTTTCTACATGGAGTGCTGCTTTCGGGAAGGCAGCAGCTGCTACCTCGGAAACGAAACCTAGTGCTGCTGCAGCTACTGCTGCAGCTACTGCTGCAACGGTACCACTTGGGGAGGCTGCAGCTGCAGCAGAATCTACACCAGTAGCAGCTACAGGAGCAGAAGCTGCAGAAGCAGCAGCTGCAGCGGAATCTACAGCAGCAGCAGCAGCTACAGGAGCAGAAGCTCCGGGAGAAGCCGCAGCTCCGGCCGCGGCCACAGCAGTGACAGCTACAGGAGCAGAAGCTGCAGGAGTGGCGGCTGCAGCAGCACCCACTTCTGTTGCAGTTACAGGGGCAGAAATGACAGCCGCAACAGCAGCCACAGCAGCAGCAGCTACAACAGCAGCAGCTAAAGCAGCAGCTAAAGCAGCAGCAGCTACAGCAGCAGCTGCATCAGGAGCAGCTACACCAACAGTAGCTACAACAGCAGCAGCTTCAAAAGCGGGACCTGCAGGAGCAGCAGCCTCCGCAGCAGCTACAGCTATATCAGCTACAGGCGCGGAAGCTGAAGAAGCAGCAGCTACAGTAGAAGCTACAGCAATAGCAACTGTGGGAGCGGAAGCTGCTGAAGCAGCAGCGGAAGACCCACTGGCAGCGCTGGGGCCTGCACCAGCAGCGCTAATAGTACCTGAGCCGGCAGCAGCAGCAGCACAGGGAGAAACAGTAGCACGAACAGCAACAGCTGCAGCACTTGGAGAGGCTGCGCCAGCAGCAGAATTGTCCCACCACAGTCCGCTCCAGCAGAAATCACAGCAACAGAGGACGCGAGAGCAACAGGAGCGGTTGCTGCGGCAGGAAGAGGTACAGCAGAAGCAGCAACAGCTACAACAGCGTCAACGGCAATCAGTGCACCACCAAGAGGAGCAACGCCACGCAGCTTCCGTGCCACGAAGTACTACCAGAAGCCTACTGCGCCCTCCAACAAAAATAGCAGCAGCAGTAGCAGCAGCAGCAGCAGCTGCCGCTGCTGCTGCTGCACGAGCAGCACGAGCAGCAACTGCAGCTCGAGCCAGGAGGTCGGTCTCCACCCCCAACTTGCCTGCTGCTGCAATCCCTCAGCGGCCACAGCAGTCCGCCGCAGCAGTGACGGCGGCGGGAGTGCGACGAGGGCCCCAGAGGGCCTTTTGGAGAATTCCAGGTAGAAGAAGTCGATCCGTCTCGAGCCTCCCGTTGCTGCAGCAGCAGCTCCAACCGAGGCCTCTAGCGGAAGCAGCAGCTACGGCAGTAGCAACAAGGACGGCAGCGTCTTCAGCAGCAGCAGAAATGGCGCCTGTAGCAGTGAGAGCGTCACCAGCAACAGCAGCAGCAACCTCAGTAGCGGCAAAAAGCGCCGAAGCCGCAGCGACAAAAAGAACAGCAGCTGCTGGTGTCGCGACACCCTGCAGCCACCGTTTTCCCGCAGCGAATGCAACGAGACGTGCGGACGCAGCTTCAGCAGGGTCAACAGCCACAGCAGCACGAAGAGCCACAGCAGCAGCAACAGCAGAACGCAAAGCCCTCAAGCGGGGGCCCGAACCTGCGGACTGCCCTCTCCCCCAGCGAAAGCGCCTCGCTGGAGATCTGTGTAGCTCACTTGCTGCGGATGCCGTAGCAGCCGACTCTGCTGCTGCTGTCCAGAGAAAGAGAACCGCTGCTGCAGCAGCAGAGCACGAAGATAAGGACATGCCCAGAGCTGCATCAGGCAGTGCAGGGGCAACAAAGGTCTTATCCGCGCCTTTGGCAGCGACAGCAGCAGCAGCGACAGCAGCAGCAGCAACAGCAGCAGCAACTGTTGCGCCAAAAGCTGCACTTGCGAACTGGCCAAAAGCCATTTCTGCAGCGATCACTGCCACTACAGCAGAGCTTGTTTCTGCAGCGGTAGAGCAAACGGAAGCTGCAGCAGGTGTTGCAAAAGACCCTACTGCTCCTGCAGCGGAGGGCGGCGACAGGGATAGTAGCAGGCTCAGTTTTGCATCTCTGCAACAGCAGATGAAGCTGTTGCAGCAGGGGCCCGAGCAGCCTTCTCAGCACATGGACGTTGATGAAGGTCGGTCAGCAGCAGCCACATCTACAGCAACGGAACCAAAACACCTTGCAACAGAGCCTGCTGCTTCTCCGAATACAGCAGCAGCATTCGTAGCAGCAGCAGCTTCAGCTGCTGCTGAAACATCACCTGAGGGCGGAGATACAAGGGTACATAGCCCTCAAGGAGGCCCTGCATCAGTTGTACGTGTGTCTGCTGCTGCACCTGTGGTGCTCCTAGCTAACTGCACACCTGAAAATCAACGTGCCACTGCAGGAACAGCAACTGCAACAACTGCAGCAACATCAAGAACAGCAGCTGAGGCTCGTAGGGCTTCTGATACAGCTTGGGGACTCACTGAAAGTGGGGCCTTCCGCCACAGCCCGTGGGGAGCGGGGAAGTACAGCCAGGGCCATTTGTCTGTGCAGTCCCCGTCAGCCACACAGACCACAACTGCACTTGGTGCACAAGCAGCAACAGCAGTAATAGCGTCAGCAGCAGCAGCAAGCAGCTGTTCTTCCCCGTTTTTAGAGCCCAGGCACAACGAGCGTCCTGTCTGCTCTCCTGAGCAAGTTCAAAGCTGTGGCCAGAATGCACCAGATCTGGCAGCAGCAGCAGCAGCAGCATCAGAGACAGAGGCACCAGGATTCCGGCAGCAAACTGATTCACCTACGGAGCCGTCAGTGCAGCAAGTCCCGACAAACTCAGCGGAACCAGCTGCAGGAGCAGCAACAGCAAAAGCAGCAGCAGCAGTAGAAAGGTCATCTGCAGCAGTTGTCGATGCTCCTGAGGCAACTGATGCAGCTGCAAAAGCCTCTGCGCTGCTGCTTGCACGGGGACCTCCCGAGAGTCTCCTGGGAGCTCTCAGGACCACCACCAGCAGCTGCGTGAGCAGCAACAGCAGCAGCTTGACCGAAGAAACGGAGAGCAGTGCAGGGCAACAGCAGGCTGCTGCAGCTGAGGAATCAGCGGCAGAGGAGGATATGAGCCTCTTTGAGGGCCCCCTGGAAGGCCACTTGGGTGACCCTCGAATCCATCGGCAGCTCTGCAGCCGCGGCTGCTGCTGCTGCACGCCACTGTCTGCTGGTGCCGCTGCTGCTGCCGAAAGTGCAGCAGCAATGGCGACGGCGCGACTTCTGAGGCGCGCACGACCCCAGGTAGGAGCTTTTCTAAGGCAGCAACAGCAGCAGCAAACAGTGGCAGCAACGCGCACCGAAGCTGGAATTTCACCCTCAGTCTGCCTTGCAGCTGCTGGCCTTCATCAGCCACGTCGGCAAGAAGTGGAGGGCCCGCGGAAGGAAGTGCACCAGGAGGCACTGCAGCAAACGCGGGGGAGCCAATGTCTGTCTGTCACAGTCGCTTTGCTGCAGATGGCATCTCTCCCGTCCCCTATCGATGCAGCAGCGGCAGCAGCAGCAGCAGCAACAGCAACTGATGCAGCATCATCAGCAGCAGCACCGGCCGCAGAAGCCGGGAGCTTGACGTGTAGCGCAAGGGGAGAAACGGAGGCAGCTTTGCGGCTGCTGCGGAAGGCAGCAAACCATCCGTACCTATCACTTGCTGCGGCTTGCTGCAATCAGGGCGATGTATCCCGCGCTGTGGATCTGATACGGGGCCTCTACCTGATGGAGACTCAGTTGTATACCGAGCTACAGCAGCAGCAGCACAGTGAGAGCTCCTTGGGACAGCTACTTCTGGAGCAGGAACTACAAGAGCAACAAAATGAAAACACTTTGTCCCCTCCTTGTATGCTGCTGCTGGTTTGGTGCAGTCTGCTCTGTTGCTCCTTTCTAAACGAGGATAGCAGCAGGAGCAGCAACTGCAGGAGCAGTAGCCGAAGAGCGCCGAGCGGCAGCCGACCACAACGAGTAGACGCAGCAACAGCGCTTTTTGAGGAGTTTTGCATTCAGCCCCTGCTGCTACTGCTACTGCAGCAGCAGATCCTGGAGCAGCTCGAAGAGGCGATCGGTGCAAAGCCGCAGCGAGGCAATTTGCTGCTATGTATTAGGCGGGCCTTACGCGCAGCCCCGCCCGCCTTAAATCTGAGCAGTTATCCCTTTTCGTGCCCACTGCAGCAACAGAAGCGTCACTCGAGCCGGCAGCAAGGTGAAGGATCTCCTCCGCAGTTTACACTGTCAGCCATTTTGCTGCGCGCTGCGGCGCTGTACATTAGAGAGTTCACGGCGAAGCAGCAGCAGCAGCAGCAGCGACAGCTGCAGCGAGTGCAGCTGCTACTATGTGGAATGTGGAGATACACTTCTGGGGCCCCGAAGGGCCCTAGTACTCCCACTCAACTCCGTAGAGCAGCAGACACAGCTATAGCTCTCCTCTTGAGGAGCCCTCCCGCGCATACGCAGCTGCAGCAGCACCTGCTGCAGCAGGAAAACCCGCAGTCCCCTACCCTGACTTTCAAGTGGTGACCTTAGACAGCTCAAGAACTAGTAACTACTGCATGCTAGTGATGCGAAGCACATCCCTTGTGGATGTGTACTAGGGAGTAGCGAATTGAGGGTTGATTACAAAAGCCAGGAAACTACAGTTGCGGCGAGCATGCAGCTGCATGCAAGTGCGTGCACGCAAACGTAGGCCTGCATGCATGTGTTTATTTGCATGCGAATACCGTGGAGCCGCTGCGCGGATTTGCAAATGCGTGTGCACGCGTTCGCTCATAAGCGGACACTTTTGGGGCAGTTTCGCCCCAGTGTATATTCTTGTGTTGCTGGTGCTGCTGCATGCAATCATCACCACACAACTTTCTAAGGAACTTTGAAGGGTTCCCCTGAGGCACCGCCTCTGGAAGACACACAGGGGGGGCAAATCTCAGGTACAGGAGCCCCTACCAAAGATCATAAAGGACTTTGTTGCGCAGCTTCCTGCCGCTGCTTAGAATGGCACTGAAGAGGTACTGCCCCACTAGCAAAGGTGCCCCCGGAAGCCTCCAGCTCAAGAGTAAACGGAGCCTCGATCGCTTACGTATATAAATATACATGATATATGTTTTACAAAATGTACTTGACCCGCCTTCAGGAGCCCTTTCGCCAATAAGCTAGCCCCCAGACTGAGTGTGCAATTACGCTGCCTTCTTGAGAACCGCACGGTCCATCATGCCTTTCTCACAAAGGATTCCCGAAGACACTTCTAGGCCCGAATAAAGTCCACTCCGTCTGCAGCCCCAGCATTTCAAGGCATACTAGCCACTCTTGGGAACCAACAGGCAGACAAAAAGTCAGCTAGCTGGGGAGCAGGGGTCCGGAAATGCCTGCAGCTGTGCGCATTATTCAGATGCAAGAAGCCCCTCTGGGGGCTCCCTCCGAGAACCCACAGTCACCTTTCCACAGCAAGATGGCAATCTTTGGCAAGGGGCTTCCTGCCTCACTGTTGAGTCACACTGCCTGTGGGAAGAGTGGAGGCATTTTGTGGGGTTGCTGAGGAGCCCCCATCAACTACTCCTCGTTGCTGCAATTCTTGTATCTGCTGCCGGAGCAGCTGCCGCTGCTGCTGTGTATCCGCCATGCGCCTACTGTCGTCCTGGTCGGCTGCAAAGTCCCCTGGGGTGGGCGCCTCGCCGTGATGTGCTGGAGCCTCTTCTTGGCTTTGTTGCTCCGGCTGTGGCTGCTGCGAGGCCAAACCTGTGTCTGCAGCAGCAGCTGGGGCAGAAGCGGCAACAGGACCGCCAGCACCAGCAGCGGCACCAACATCAGCAGCGTCCGCAGCAGGTACAGCTCCTGGTGCCTGCTGATGCCTTGGGCTCGCTGCGGTCTGCCGATGCATGAGGGCTGCAAGCCGAGAGGTCCCCGAGGGCCCCCCCGCCGCTCCCCCTCCTAGAAGAGAATGCCAATTGAAGCCTGCAAGCGCTGCAGGAACGCTTTGAGGCCCCGCAGAATCAATAAACCTGACATCTGACAAGACACATAAGAAACACGAAGGCCAATGGGATTGACAGTGCATCGTTGCTGTAACTACTGCAGCTTGGGTTGGTGCTCCTGGTGTCGCCCCTGGCGCAATAGGTGGCGAGTAATTTCTGCATCCCTGGTTTGTGCTTGGAACCGTACCTGACTCAATGCTTCTCTGTGAACGAAGGCACGAAGGTATGAAGTTCCAGTGCCGCCGGATGGAGATGGAAATGACTGTGCGGCCGACCTGAGAACGCAAGCAGCAGCCAAAACACAAGAGGTGGAGCAGCAGCAGGCGATATCATCAGCATCCAGACATGAACAGGAGCGAAGCATCAGCAGTGGCAGAGCAGCAGCAGAGGCACGGGCAACAGAAGCAGCGCAGGGTATGGCGCAAGCAGCGGTTCAATAGGCAAGAAAAGAGTTGCGAAGAACGTAAGATGGGTAACAGGTAACTCGACACGAAGCAGGGGATAGATTTGAGCCAGAGGCATATACAGCATAAAGGAACCTGGCACATCGCAAGCACAGAACAGGCAGACAGAAGTCAAGAAGAAGATTTGGAAAACGAATAGAGACTGGAGACTGGGAGCTAGTGGACAGGGATACACACAGAAGACAGATGCTGCGAAAACGGAAAAGAGAAAGCAAAAAAGCAAAGCGAAAAAGCGCCCAAACGCTCGGCGCAACCACTTAGCATACCCCGTATGACACGCAGGCACACGCACGCCCATGTAAAGCAAAAAACAAGAAGCATACAAAGAAGAGGCACCATGAAGTGCTTGTTCACCTGAAATGATACCCCGCTGATCCACCTCTCAAGTTTTAGGGGCCTCTTAAGTTCCACAAGGGTGCCGAATTTACTCCTCTGATCTTCTAAAAAAAAACCTCCCTGAACCGCAAATCGCAAGCCACTACTCTGCACAACCCTTGGACCTAAATAAACTCAGCTGCTGCTCTAGCCCACAAACCAGAAACCTTTCAGAAAAAACGCGATGCTTTCGAAACGAAGCAAGCCACTACGCGGCACAACCCTTGGACCTAAATAAACTCAGCTGCTGTTCTAGCCCACAAACCAGAAACCTTTCAGAAAAAGCGCGATGCTTTCGAAACAAAGCACTTGGCCCTGACCGTAAAGCCCTATTTGGGGTGTGTGAGAAGCCGAACATAAAGCGTAAATAGTAAAGAGCCTGGCTACACGCCATGCAAGCCTTGTGTCCCAACCCTACAGCCTGACTCGACCCGTGCTCGCACACCTGTTGGTGCCTGATGACTGCATGAAATCTGGAGACAGATATGTCACTAAGTCGGATATCCGAGTCGTGACCCCTTCCCAGTCGTGCGACTCTCCTGCTGGAAAGAGAGACAACATGGAGGCCCCTGGGCGGCGCCGTGCCTCCCGCTGCGGTAGGATGAGTGCTGCGTGGCTCTGCGAAGACGGAAGCAGCAGACAGATAGTAAACTTCTGCCACCCCATAAAACCGTCTATATCTAGGTATATCTTGTCAATGGTCTCAAGCAGGCAAAGCATGTGTATGTAAAAGCGCTGAGCTGCAGCTGCAGTGAGGAATTTCGAAGGCAAGAAAAATGAAAAACACCGCATTCGCTGTGAGTCAAGAAAAAGGCAGGACATACTCACAACGAAACCGACAAATGATGGTGCAGACAGCACGCGATCCCACTAGCAAGACCCCAGACGCCCGCCAGCTCAGCTTGGCCACCTGGCGAAATGGCCGTAGTTAAGGACGTAAAGCTCACCCAGAATAAAGTAAGGATACTGAGGTCTAGGAATTGCAAAAAGCTCTATCACCTTCCTGTTGGCCTCCACCAGAGACGGATAAGGTGCTTTGCACAGTTCACCTGGAGGGGCACCAATATATGAAGACAGCACTTTCAGTGGTTGCAGGAAAACTGCCCGTTCGATAGCTTTGCAGCCTAGCTAGCTCACTAGCTTTCTAGCTTGCTCTTAAGCAGCTAACTACATCAATTCCGACACTATGTGGAAACTCACAGTCCAAAGAGCGGAGGAAATATCCGACAGTCGAGCCGTCCTGAAGCCACAACAAAACCCCACTTCCTTGATAGTAAATCTTGAATGTTTTTACTGCCGCGAGGCCACCTGAGAGAGTAAGGACCTAGGGCTTACATTGCGAATATTAAGTCGGCCTTCCATCCACGTGCGGAGACATTGCAAATGCACGAACTGCATGCTGCCTGAGCAGCACAGAGCAGCAACACACGCAAGAACAACTTTGTACTCCGGCCAATGTGTCTCGAATAAATGGTCTACGGCCGGAGAAGAAGAGGACATCCCAACGAGCAGCAAAGACTTGATACAACTCCAGTTGGTAAAACGTCCAAACGAGGAAGTCAGGTTACAATACGCTAGTGTAATTCAACGTTACTACACATTGACGCAGGCGCGGTTTAGAAACGCCAACGGGTCAGGGTGAGAGAGTCTTGGGACCTAAAAAAAGCCACGAGTCTACCTTTGCAGCGGCAGGGAGCTACTAGTGGGTTCGTATCTGGATCATCATCCTCTGATGCTTCACAGAGGCAAATGCGACAGGCGGGACGAGAGAAGAGACTGCTGAAGCAACAAGAGGCAGGCACATGCAAACAACGCCACTTTCAGGAGGCAGCAACAGCAGCAGCAGCAGCAACGGCCACCGCAGCAGCGGCAAGATGCAAAACAGCAAAAGCTGAGTCCACGATAAAGTGCGGCAGATGATCTAATCTCCCCTCAAATTTACAGTGGTACGTAATTCTGTTCCTGCGCCCTTGCTGTTAGTAAAACCCACACCCACCTTCTGCTGGCTCTCGCATCGGCACTGAGGGGGCGAAGACCCATTGCCGAAGCTCCTGAATAAGACAAGGCAGCATGTACGCAGTAGCTGCAACAGCAACAGCAGCGGCAGCTTTTGCTGCAGTTTTGCCATTCTCAACCCGTAAACGCTGAGGCACCTCATGACGCCTGAAGTTCTGCGGCCGCTTTGTAGCTTCCCAACCGAGGCGACTACAGCGGATGGTGAAAGTCTACACGGAAGATATGCGCATACGCCCGTTTAGATACACATACCATCCGCTGAATGGCTTCCCACTTCTCCCGTTTCGTAGAAAAGTTCCCCTCCTACACCTGAGCCCTTTGGAGTGAGAAGACAGCCTTCAGATACGCAACGGGATAGCGGACCTGCCAGTGCAGCCCGGCTGCCCGCTGCTGCCGCTGCAGCTGCCACAGCCCTCAGTGGAGACCCTGGCGGCAGTGCTGCAGCAGCAGCTGCAGCAGCTGCTGCTGCTGCTGCAGCTGCTGCAGCATGCGTCGCTACGGGCGAAGGGCCAAAGGCCTCTCTGCTCGGCAGCGTGCTGAACACGGGCTGCTCCGCCGCGGAGGGAACAGGACAGTTAGCAGAAACAGCAGCAGCGGCTGCTGCTGCTGCTGCACCTTCCACTGCAGCAGCGGCAGCTGCAGCAGCGTCTTCGCCATCCGCAACTGCATCAGGAACCACCTCTTCACCGGAGTCAAAGCCATTGTCTCCCACTGCTGCTGCAACTGCTGCTGCTGCACTTTCTGGCTCTGGCGCTACTGTTTCACAGTCGTCAACATCTCCCAGGTGAGGGCGCTGCCTGCAGCAGCAGCAGCGACAAAGGCAGGACAACAGCAGCAAGAAATCCAGTACTAGTCTGGGACGAGTCAGCTCTGGAACCTAATCTCCATAACATCACTGGAAACTGGTGCCTAGCCCCGTCAGCATCTAGCTGTGGGATACCTGGCTGTGGCTTGAAGCGCTTGCTGCTGATTAAGCACAGCCTCTTTGACCTTTAGGCGGAACCTTCCTAGTTTCAGGATATCACCCTCTACCAAACGAACGCCGCCGCAGTCCCGCAGACTCCGAACCACCAGCCACACCTTGTCCGCCTGAGAGCAGTAGCAATAGCAAGGTAAATAAAGAAGCAACCGGGTCTACTGATGCCCAAAAGTCGCTCTACTGTTGCTGCTGCTCCTACTGTTGCTACTGCTGACCTCCGCACGATTTGCCTGCGCCCCCGTTCGCGAATTGGATCCGCGAACTGCTGCTAGCCCTGTTCTCCCAGGTAGCGCTGTTGCTGACGCGTCGGCAGGAGTGGCTGCAGCAGCTGCTGCTGGGGCGGCAATCACCGCAGCAGCTGCTGCAGCAGCTGCAGCAGCTGCTTCTGGAGTCTCAGACCCTCGGCCGCCTGTTTCTGCGCCTGTGCGGGCAGCACCATGGGCGTCAGTTTCTGCTGCTCCGTCAGCCACTCCTCCTGCCACAGTTGCCTGCACTGCTTCCGCTGCTGCTATTGTGGCAGCCGCTTGCATTGCTGCAGCGGCGGCTGCTGCTTGTGCAGCTGCTGCTGCTGCCGCCTGCTCATCTGTATTGCTGATTGCTGACGACGCCTCCCTAGTACGCTGCTCCCTCTGCAACCGATCTGTTGTAGTGGGGACACGAGATGCTACATGTCTTGCTGGCCCATCAGCGGCCGGCTCCCCCGGAGCTTCCCCAAGAGCTGGCCGCCTTTGTTGCTGCTGCTGCTGCTGCTGCTGCTGTTGTGTGTATTCGGGTGCTGCTGCAGCTGATGGTTGCTCCGGCGTCCTTGCAGCCGTTGTGCCACAAGCAGGATTGGCTGCAGCAGCGGCAGCAGCCGGAGCAGAAGCAGCACCAGCAAGAGCAGTAGACGGCGGTAAGGGTGGAAGCACGCAGTACGCGCCGTCTATCCAAGTTATCCTTAGAAGAGCCTTGGCCTCCACAGCATCTCCACAGCGAGTCTTTTCCAACAGTTCCAGGGCTTCTTCCTCGGGTGACACCGAGACCTCACCCGCTATTCGGACGCAGCAGTAAGAGTCATCTACCAGACAACAACGGCAAGCAAGCAAACAGGATACATGATACACTGAGAAAGGGACAAAGGCTGAGGGACGGGTCGACAGTGAGAGGCCAAAGATAAGCACATGAGAAATAAATCATGAAATTTAGAAGTTGATTACTGAAGCAGTCAAGCATGTGGATAGTCAAGCGAAGATGCGAAGCAACAGCAAGAGGCAGACAAAGGGTCACGGAGGCACTGAACGCAAGCATGCGAAGGCAGAACCAAAGGGGCACTATATCTATATCAAATCAGATAAAAGGAGGCAACGTTGGTGCAGGAAGAAACAACAAAGAAAAAAAACTAATGATCCGCGGACATACGTATTCTTCGGGCAACTCGCCGAAACGAGTGAACCGGGGAAAAGAGACAACCAAATATGGACGGAAATAAAGAGAAAGCAGTGAAGAGGGCAAGACGTGAATATAGAAGGAGGCATATTGGCAAAAGCGATGCGGGGAGAGGCAGACAACTGCTAAGGGCTCGTTCGAGAGACCGACATAGTTGTAGGCTTTAAGGAGACAAAAGGCAGTCAAATCGACGCTTAGACAAACAGACACAAAGTAAGATGGAAATGCGGGGGCAGAAATGGAAATGCAAAGAAATGAACGGACCAGAGCAAAGCCAAAAGCACGCAGAAACGAAGCTCGAGACGATGAGAAGGACAATTAAAAAAACTGGAGGAAAGGCGATGGAAGACGGGAACATTGGACGAAAACCCAATGAACGAAATGGGCGGGAAGCCGCTCATTCACGCATCAGGACAGCTGTGCAGATCCACAAAACAGCATGCAGAGCAAGTCACGCAAAACCTAAACTGCAGCTGCTCTTTTGCTCAAAGGAATTTCACAGTGGGCGGAACAATCCATGCACACTGACGCCGCGCTGAACAGTATGTCGGATACAACTACGCTCTTACAGTCAACACCACAAAGAGCTAGTAGCAGTATGCGAAGCCGCTGCACCAACAGCATATGGTGCATACGCAGAAACAGACACTGCAGGGCAGGCAGAGTGACCAGAACTGCACTAACAAGTAACTTTCGTGCCAAAGTTACTTGTTAGTGTAGTTCTGGTCACTCTGATGCGCGGACCCTCATTTGCCGCATGGCGGTCATTTTAAAGAATGAATGCACCAGCACAGGCTCTGTAGCCGCAGTAACAGTGACTTTAGACACTTAAATGCAGCAAGGAGCTCACGCATGCAGTTGATTCTGTAGGTCTTTTTCGCGACATTTCGTGACTCGTAGTCGAATAGACCGTGGCTGTCACTGGCCCATGTAGTACAATTTATGTACATCGAGTATCCCCTAGCCTTCGAAGGGCTCGCGTGGGCTCCCGCAAGCTGGCCGCCTTTAGGGCCCCTTGAAGCTGCATTGCATGCCTCACTTCCGACTTCGTTGATTGCCACAAATGCACGCTGTTGCTGTAGTCGCTGTTGTTGCTGCGGCTGTTGCTGATGCAAAGGTGGGACACCATTGTGAGTCCAACTTCTGCTGCTGCTGGAACTGCGATCCGCCGGTAAAACGCCCCCCGCATCCCGAGCTGCCCCCACCTGGTCGGAGGGGTCGAGAAACACGGTCTCCATAGGGGAAGTGACAGCTTTGACAGCTGCAAGAGAGCAGCTACACAGGGGGCCCCTTGATGTGTTGGGGCCCCTCAATGCAGCACTGCACGGGCTCCACACTCTGAGCAGCCCCAAGGAAGGGCTATGTCAGGAGGCGTTGTGAGGTCGCTAACGAGCCCCCAGGGACCCCTCTTGTTCCCCCACGCTGAGCAGGGAAGCGGATTGTGGAGGCGAGACGCGCGGCAACAAAACCTCCGGCGTGCTACAGACAGCCCCTAACCAACCACCTGTACAGGGACGCTTGTGGGAGTGAGTGAGACTTCCGCTAACACGCAGGAGAACCTATGCCGAATTACGCTGGAAGTAAGCTCTACCGTCGCACTTAGATCACGAAAAAGTCAAAAGATGGGGAAAGGGCCCCCGTTGGGCTCCGCTGCAGGCGCGAGTTCCTCCAGCTACCGCAGCAAAATGGTAAGAGCAGCAGTACGCGAAACGCCTTAAGAGACAGCACAAAGCCACAAACGTTTAGAATTTCACGTTTAAGGTTTAGGGTTTACGCATGCCAAACTGCAGATAGATGCGATGCGATGCGTCTGACCTGGCGGTCTTGCTATGCGGAGCGCCAGCAGCGGGCACTAAAGCCTAAACCTTACACGAGAAGCGATGACTACAGCTGATCGATTACTGAAGGTAGTTTGTGATTATTGTTTCTGGAGCATCTGTCACCAAACAATACGCAACGCTCCCGTTTGTCTCTTAGAGGCGTTGCTGCCCAGCCTCCACAACTCGAAGTCGAAACCGTCAACTCTCCTTTATGACTACTGTGTGGATGGCTTCGCTGCTTCTCGGAAAACTGATTCGAAATGGGCCAGAGACACACATCATAGTTCCGTCAACTGCTTTGTGCTGATAATTTAGGAGCGAAAGCAGCAGGTTTCCCTTTCATGTCCCTCTAGGGGAGCCAGAGGTCCGTCAACTCACTGAGACTTAGAAGTGAGCCTAAATCTGGAGGTTGTAGGTGGTATGCAACATTGCCCTTACTTGTTTTGATGCATCCATAGGTTCCCTCCCCAGAACTGGAGTTGAATTCCGGCTTTTCTGTCCATGTGTGTTGCGAGTTTCCCGCCTGATTTGACTGCTTCGCCAGTACCGCCAGCAACCCTAATTTCTCAGTAGGTGCCAACTGTGTTAGGAGATTTGTAATGGCAACCCGCCCTTTTATCGGAGCGTCTAAGTAGAATTAGGCACGATTTAGCTATTCAAGCGAGCCTTCGTACGGGGAGCCTCAATTGGACTTCAGGGAATGTGTACACATGCTCAGTGTGTATTTGTAGATGTAGCACTTACGTGCAAACCCCTGAAGAGCCACTTGGCAATCCTGTTGAGCTGGACCAGTGTGTAGCGTTCACATTTCGTCAAAATGCAAACCTGGTCGCCTGAAACAGTCCTCTAAAGCTTTGCTCATCTTCAAGAACGCAAATTCTCCTTTTCTTCACTTTTCTGCATAATATTCTAGTTAATCTATTCCTTAGGGATATCGCAAAAGTTAGCCCGCTCCTTCTTCACTTCTGCCTAGTAGTTGAAAGGCCGTGGTGTATGTTCTCCACTGCCTTTTCTGGGACTGTGGTACCTTGTTACTTGTGGAGCTAGCAGCAGACCGCACGCGCTAGTTAGAGGACTGATGAAATTACGAATTTTGATGGGGCCATTTGAGTGTGCTTCAGACAGACACTGCGAATAGCTACCCAATACAGGCCTGCTGTGTTTGTATCTATCTCATTCTACCAGGGGGCTTGGAGGCTTCGCTTCACTCTAGAGCATCGATGCTAGCCACAAAATACGGAATAGCTAGTGCTTGTGCCTCGAACGCGCCCAGCATGCGCAGAGTTGTAGCTCACTACCGTGCATCTACGCAACGGAAAGCACCACAGAGCTATAGTGTCCGTAGTAAACTAGCGTACTAGGAAAGCCGGAACTAGGCCTGCTTAATTATTCGGCCTTCAGGAGCAGAGGAAAAGAGTATGAGGTTTCAACATGATTTCCACCATATCGGTGTGACTATGAAAGTACGCCGCTCACGGGCCATGCTTGGAGATTCCACACTGCCTTCGGCAGGGCATTCCTTTTGGGAACCACTGGCATTATCGGCTTCCTCGCTTGCGTTAATCGCAGGCTTCTGCAGCAGCGGCGTGCAGATCGTTCTCCTGAGGGCTCCTCTCTCCGTACCATACTCGAACGAACCGTCATTACATATTTTCTACTCCAATTTTTGTCGAAGTGCGCTAACAACAACAGATACCGGATTTCCCCCGGATGCTGGCACAAAAAGTAAAAAATACACACTCGGATATTGATCGCAGGCCATATTCTACCTAAATGGAATCCCTTCGTGAACTGGATCCTCGCCAGATTCAATGCGTGATTTGGACGCAGCAAGCCTCAGCATGTTTGTCTCCTTTTCCCGGCTAAAAGTTCACTGCCTTTCACACTTAGCAGTTGCCTGGCTGCTCCGTACCTGATTGCCTCATAGCTTGCAGCTACAGACATCGTCCAGGGTTACCGCTGCTGCTGAAGCTCCATAAACAAGCTATCTATGCTCTATTTGCAGCCTGCAAATAGTTCGAAGATGGCAAAACGACATTTAATGATCGGCAGGCTGGGACTGCTCTGGTCAGGATTTTATCTGCTATTCTGACATGGCTGCAAGCGCTTTTGCTGTCCAACCTTGACCAATGTCCGCAATAAGTAGTTTCACTGAGAGGCCTGGAGACAGCAGCAAAGGTCAGAGCCACGCCAATCTAATTTTCGCATCAGCGGATGCCAGTCAGCCAGGAGCTGAAGCCGCGAACACAAGTTCCGCACTAGCTTATATCACAAATAGGCGTAATCGAGCACTACTACATACTCTGTACGCTGCATCGTCTCTTTTCTGATGCCCTCGAATCTGAAGCGGTTTGATTTTGCGGGCCTGTTTCCCTTCGCTCAGGAAATATTAGCCAACCTCTTGAAAGGCGATGCTTGCATATTTGGAGTTGCTAGAACTCAAAAAAAAATCTATCTGCTACAATGGCGGTCAGTAAAGGTACCGTGAAAAACACATGGAACTTTCCATACTGGTTTCAGCGAGATACTGGCCCGCAATTGGCGTTTTCATACACCTAGCCCTTCTATTGCATAAAGCACTTCCCTGTGTGTAGTGCGCAGGCACTACAATAGGGCTTACTGATGACCTGTAGAGGATAGCTAATTGTTGACCTATCAGCGGTTAAGAGGTTGAGACGAGCGCTGTAACTTCATACTAGTAAGATAGAAAAGCAATTTATTGGCAAACTAACATGTATAAACTAGAAATGTCTACAAATACCCTAAGATTGGGGCTGCCGACAACGTCGGCACCGGTGCGGGTCACATCATCACCGGCCCAACACAGCAAGAACCATGAGCAGCGACTCTTATGAAATATGGTTTATAGAACTTAAAGCAAAACGACCTTTTTAATAAATTGGTAGACGTTACACGACAGCTGCGTCGATAGTAGAGAGGATCTCATAGGACGCCGAAGTTGTGGGCCCGGTAGCATCGTAATCGCTGCAGAGAACGCGGTGTACTACATTTGGGGGCTGTTCCCGGAAATAAAACTATTTTTTCCGTACCTGGGGTTAGAAATACTTTGCTTTAATAATTCGCACCTAGTTCTCTTAGCTCACTTAGCTCAATTAGGGATGTGTAGTGCGCGGCGCCTACTGCTGCGACTACGCTGCTTCCTGCCCCTCTAACAGGTCTACACAGTACGCCTAGTATAGCCCCATTTCTCGGTCTCTATAGCCTTATTCCATCAAAATACGACAATTTTAAAAGTGTTTCAAATCCGTCTCCTCGATTCGCCTCCTTTTCGGAGCTCACCTCCTAGGCCCTATGTGGAGGAGGTCCCTGTTGGTGCCGGCGCTTTCGCCAGCCCCAGTCTCCACACAATTTCCGCATATTTCACGTATTCATTAGAACTAATAGACGGTTTTTCTTATTTTTATCCCCTTAGGTGGGTTCTGTCCTCCTCCAGTGTCGCGACCCCTTGTAGGTCGCTAGCTAGCTATCATCTCTAGGACACAAGCCAGCCCCATTGTAGTGCCTGTGTACTACAACTTCTCCCCCTGCCGGACTGAAAAGACCTATCGCAAACACATTATTATTTTTGCCTTTGCAGTCTTCGTGCCCTTCTAAAACTGACGTCGTGAGCGCACGCGGTGTGCAGCGCTCACTCCCCCCTCCTCATTGAAGGGTGCCCGTGCTGTAGGAGCCGGAACGTGGCGGACCCGTACGTCTACGCCTTGAAAGGACCCATGTTGTTTCGAGCCTGAAGACGTCTTCGCTGGCGGCGGCGCCAAGCGCGAAGCGAAGCCGGGCAGCCAGTAAGGTGATGAGCTGGCTCCCATGTGGCTTGATCTTCAGGGGTCCCGCGCCACTTCACGAGGTGGGCTGCATCTCCCGAGCCGCGTTGGTCCATAATATAGTCGACTTCGTATTCCGCTGTGGGACTGCCTGCTGCATCGTGGATAGGAGGCCAGGCAGCATCGGCTGCCGAGGGAACCAAAGCGGGAGGGCGGGGGCGGTGAGGAACTAGCTGCTAAACGTGGAAAACGTCATGGCATTCATATGTGGGAGGCAGAACGAGACAGTAAGCGACAGTTCCTATGCGTTCGATGACTTCGAAGGGTCCACAGTAGCGGGGCTCGAACTTAGGGCAGCCGTTGAAAGGCGGGAGGTGCTTGCTGCTGAGCCAGACCTGGTCTCCCACCGCATACTCCACTGCTCGGCGCTTCGTGTCTGCGTAGTACTTCTGCTGCCATTTTGACTTCAGGATGTGACTCTGTGCTCTGTGGCAGAGCTGTCGGAAAAGCTTAGTCATCGGAGGAGTGGGCGTAGGAGCTAACGCGTCGACGATATCAAGGTCCGCAGCAGTCAATGGGTTCTCTCCAATCATGACCTCGAAAGGAGAGAGCTCAGTGGATGAATGACTTGTGGTG